CGCTTTGTGTGCACCATATCCCTTTTTTTTTGGAGGGGGGCGCTTCCGGTGTGTACCGGCCAGCTGGTTTCTCGTCTAAAATGTGTACACTTTAAAAATTAAAAAAAACAACGCACTCGTTATATTGTACAATGTGCTATGCTGCTTTGGGCTGCAGTGCGGTCCTCAGCAACTTCAATAACAATAATGTCAAATAACCTTTATTTGCGCGAAAAAGGGGAGGTATGTGAATAAGAAAAAAAAAGAGGGAGATCATCTTCAGGCGCGACAGAGGGGTACCAACACGTACGCGGAACGCCTGCCAGCCATCCGCCCGGGAAGATTGGTCGACGCCAGCGCCACCGCATCATTCCACGCCGAAACGGCCGCTCCCAGGCATCTGCTCGCGCCACTCAAAAGCTTCTAGTACACTCTAGTGAAGCGTTGGAAACAATTGCCATGTTGAGTATCGCGTTGCAATTTCAGCGCAGCGTGATGAACGCTATGGTCATTAGAAATACTTATGTATGCCTCCTCTAGTAAAAGACACACAAAAAAAAAATATTGACGTGTTTTTATGATGCCTCAAATATGCGCAATAATTGCTTTTTATTTACGATTGCACAAGTATGAACACTGGAACTTGAGCAATATTGGTGGGCGCTGTGGCTGGCTTTGGCCGTTTGGGGTGTCACTTGGTGCCACGTTGGGTATCGGTATCGTTGCGGCAGACAGACAAATGTTCCGACAGAGAGACAAATAGACAGACGAAAATTTTTGCGTCGAAGTACCCCAAGAAAGACTATCGTCTTTTAAACTCGCTATGAGACGCTGTCTTTGTTGGCATTGCGAGCCAAGAGAGGGGGAGCGCAGGACAGAAGCCTGAAAAAGGAGGGAACGTGCATGCGCGATGGGGATGTAAACAGCAGAATGAGAGACGCCAAAAGAGGAAGTGTGGGAGCTTATAAGGAGGGGCCGTTCGGAGTCTCGTTACGACGGACAAACAGATAAATGTACAGATAGACAGAAAGAGAGAGAGACAAATATTCTTGCGTTGAAGTACCCCAAGAAAGACTTTCGCTTTTAACACGCACTACAAGACGCTGCCTGCGTTGGCGTTGCGAGAGAGATGGGGGAGCGCAGGACAGGAGAGAAAGAGGAGGAGACATGCATGCTCAATGGGGATGTAAACTCCAGAGGGAGGGATGCCAAAAGAGGAAGAATGGGAGCGAATAGGGGAGGAGCAGAGGACGCGCATGCACGGTGGAGCACAGATGCCACAAGATAAATTTCGCTTAGAAGCTTCGCATCTAAGATACTTCAATGTATTCCTCGTCTGTAAGCAATCTCTCTACCTAACCAATGGAGCCGTCAGGTAAGTTGAGGTGTTTCTGTGTGAAGTAGTCAATAATGAAAATCAATATTACACTATGAATAGACACCAAACTTTTACTATTGAAGAGAAACGTTATGCGTTCTAGTTGAGCCCGCACTGGGTCACAATCACTCGGTCTCAAACAACTTGTATAGACATATGATCCAGTGTATTTGGGTCTCAAGAGCCCAGAACATAAATGTGCGTGTCATGGTGCGTATTGTCCTCACAGGAACGAGGTGTCAATTTGAACTTTCCTTGAAAACCAAGCAGTAGCGAGACCCTTATTGGGTTGGTTCACTACTGACATTATGAGCAATGCTATGAAGAGTGTAAATGAGTGCAAAGAGCAAGAATACTTTGCACTGATTTACAGTGAAACTCGGTGATATGAATATCTCGGGCTGACCACAAACTATTCGTATTATCTGAAATTCCTCCCACCAGAAAACATGAAAAATGAGTATGCATCAAAATAAAGCTGCCATACAATTTTATTCCTTGTTTCTCAGGGCAGCATCATTATCATCAGCAGCTTTGAATAGTTATTAGAAAGGCTTTTAGACATCGGCAGCCATAGTTGCACTCATGAATAGATGGCGCTTGCGTGCACGTGTAATGAATGAACTGTATGTACCGCGACACGACGATACAGATTATTGCTCCTTCCCAATCTTAGTACGTTTTTTTCGCATCATAGCCGAATACTGTGGCGAAAGTCATTTAAAGACCACGTTTCACGGGATAGATAGAGGTCAGGACAATTTAGAGCCACTGCCCTTTCTCTTCATAATCTTCTTATCACCGTGGAATAGCCGATGTCTTGGGAAAAACTTAACGCTGTGGCTGCGTAAGCCGGAGGTTCTCTAGAAATTCGGAAATTCACGTGTACAAATCGGAGAGTTGGCAGGTGTGCGCATTCCGAACAATTCAGCAAGTGGACTTAGCGAGGCCGAAATCATTCGCCCAAACTGTTCGCTTCTTTCTTCGTTCCTTGTTTTACTATCATAGGATGTCTGACTGTGATGTGGTCGGCGCCTGTAAACAAAGTGCAACGATGCTACCATGAGCGCGAAAGCACGCTTTTACGTGTTAGAGAGATAGAGAGAGAGAAAGATCGAAAAAAAAACGTGACATCAATGCCATTTGTATTAGAAATATGAACGCACATGAAGGTGCATTAGGCCTAGAACATTCATGCCCACGAAATCGGAGTCCCCAACAGCTGCTCATGCATGGCAAATGGCACCACAGAGCGCATGCCCCTACACATAACTGCCGCGTCTTAAGTGACAGCGCGGGCGGTCCCTGTTCAGACCTGCGCGACAGCGAACAATGGTATCAAGTGCCATGGGGTGAAAATTGTTTCGCGACAATATTCCTTCATTCCACTGCAGGATAATAATAAGCCTTTGCCGGGACCACAGAAAAATTTGTATCACCCCAAAATTCGTGCAAGCCGCGATCGTATCACCGAGGTTTTTTAAGATTTTTAGACACCGTCCGTCCGAGCGTACGAACGAATGAATGGAAGGTGCTTCACCACACTAATCATCATTCATCCCATGAATATGCTGTTTTTTCTCATGACTTTTGAACCCCCTTCACAAAAACAATAAGTATAAGGTAGAGATACAGTCTTGAGCATCCATCCCTGGAAAAGCTTTTGATCAGATTAAGCCACAAACAATTATTGAGTATGACTTACATGAAGTATGTCATCAATACCTGAGTAGACGTATAAATACATGAGCTCCGTAGTAAGAATGATAAATGACATACGCTCGGGACGAGAAACAGAAACACATCCCAAGAAAATAGGTTTTCCGGGCTTTTCTTCTTTTCGCCATCTGGTCGTATGGCAGCAATTACGTTCTATTATGCTGGATACCAAACTAGCCTCACTTTCTAAATCAACTATATAGAGTTGCTCAACCTGGTAGACAAATATAGAAGACCCAGCACTTACTTATTTTGAGTAGCCCAGGTGTATGTATTCAACGAGATTGAAGCAGGTGCGATGGTGGCGCTTTAGTAAAGCACGTGGCTCTACTTGATAGATGTATCAGAAAGAAAACAAGAGCACAATGCCTCCACGGAAAGCATGGTGCTCTCACAGTGAAAGTTCGGAGAGTGGCATTTCTAGAATCGGTTGCGAACTATTTTGGAACTACTGATGCAAATACAGTCGCAGGTTACTCACTAGTCACGAAATCGTAGTTTTTTCAAGTTGAGAATGACCCACTATGTGCCACTAATCGCCATTATGCGGAGAAGCGAGGTGACCGCTCTCAAGGCATTATGTGGAGTTTGTTGACGCGGTGGCTGATGACAATGGATAATTAGGTTGGAGGGCCTCGTTTTAATTTTCAACAATTCACTAGTTAGGTACTTGGTATTTGTGCACGGGTCCATTAGTTTACTCTTCGGCCATGCTATCTTATATAAGTTGATGTACAAGAGAAAGAGAATCTTTTGTGGTCCTGAGGAAATGAACAACAGGGGCCTTCTAGGCTTCCTTGATAACAAGGACAAGAAAGAGTTAAAAGGCAGGGAGGTAACTATTACAAGTAAAGTTATGAGGTATTTACTATGCTATATATCATACTTTTCGTGAAGTAGGGAACATCCACATAATTTATTTGTCATCTAAGAGTAGCACAATCCCTGCGACACAACGATAAAGCATCATGTCCACTTTGTTGATTCTGTAAGTGAAGACAATGAAAAAATATGTGTGAGCCTTTTGTAATGTGTTGTAAGCATTCAGCGACCCACTAGTTACGTAAATCGCCTTGTTTGGAGCCTCGTTGCTTTATATCCTTCCATCACGTTATATTGCATAAGTTAACGTCAATTCTTACCGAGATGAAGCCTGTGTAAGGTGTTCTTGCGAAGCAGCTTGAAGCACCGGCATGGCGTTGTGCACAATGCCTTGGGGTGTCTTTTGTCACTATATTTAGACGTGCGTGGGGCCTCTGCCATATCGCCTTCACCAGAATTGGTCCGCCGAAGCTGGAATCTAAACCATGACCTCGAAATCAAACCCCTAACGACATAAGCACTACATGTGTTCCATAATAAAAAGGGTGGCATCGCAGATGCTCGCTCCCGAATTCCGGTGCCGCGGCGGACAAACGTCTTCATTGGTGAAGGCGTGTTGCGCTTCGCTTCAAGCGATGAAGTTCTAAAATTTGCGGGTGAATTTCTCCCATTTTTATATTTCCTGCAGTAATACTAAGGTGAATGGCATGTACACTGACAGATGTAAATGACGCACATAGGAAGATACGTAGACAGAGACCTATAGCTTGAATAGTGCGTTGCTTTAGAAATGGTTAGCAGTGGTCGGCTTACTTTTTCTCTTCTCTAGCACAATTGCTCCAAAAAATAAAATAGTGAATCTTGCCTGAAGCTGAGAGGAGCATTTTATTAATGGTGTTCACACCTCTCTTTAGAACTATAGAGGATGATTACCTAGGCCTTCTCATCAACTAAATAATTTAAAGGTAATTTTAGGCACCCAATCAAAGTATTTGTTACAATGAAAAATCTATCTATATAATTTTAAAAGCTAAAATGAGCTTAAGCAAATGCCTCTCTCGGCGTAGTGGCAATGATAACTGCGTTGTACTTATATACCCCGACTATACTCGAAAAAGGAGTAGTGCAGCCAGTAAAGAGCTAACACCAAACGTTGGCAGAACTGTAGACAAACTACTTTCGAAAACGGCATTATGTATATCCAAGGACGATTCTTGTTGCTGAAACTTTTGGCGATGCAACTTTGTGTTCTTCAGAAACCAGCATCAGCCACTTACCCAGACATACGAGAGGTAAAAAACGCACCTGTCTTACTTACCGCACACGTGATGCAAGCTCGCATTATTTCATCTTGCTAGGCATTCTTAATTCGGAGGTTTGTCTCTTTCCTGCGAGTGTGGTCTCTTGTCTTGTACCGTTTCTTAAACAAAGGTGTGGTATATCTCAGCAAGCGCTAGGACAGATTCAATCCTGTTGCCATGCAAAGAGCGCAAATCTGTTGATCATCATAACTTGCGTCCTATATTTTACAATGAGCATGTTCTTGGTAGTTTTACCCGTGGTATTACAAGCGATGTGTTTCTATAGTGCTGTTTAGTTACCTCTTTACGTCTTTTGTGACAATTGCAATCAACGGTTCACATTGTGTTAGCACGGAACTTTACTAAAGAAAAGCCACCCGCAGCTATAATATTGGCGTCGACCATCACAAGTAACTTTCACACACATTAGGATATTTATTCATAAATAGTAGAGTATTGTTAACACTACCCTTTGCATTGTAAGGCATCGCGAAAAAATTGTAGTTATATTAGCCTTCTCCGTGAATTTTGACTCCACCCATAATTTCGTGGAAAGCCTAACGATTTTTATTGAAACAATAATACTCACTCTGATACTATCAATTCGATAGAAGCGCGAGAGAAGCTGATGCGCTTGTTCGCTTCTGCAATAGATGTTGAGCATGTCAGCGTTCACTATAATCAAGAAAATGTCTTGTGTTGTGTCAGCAAGAAGGTAACCTCAATTTGCGCAATCAATATGCGAAAGCTTAATAAAACAGAAAAGACTTATCTGGAGATTTTGCATGTCTCGCTCTCATCATCTGAGCTGTGTTTTGGCTGTATGCGGAAAATTGTTCAATTTCCGTTCGCGCAACAAGCTGATCATCAACAGCGATTATTTTGCCCATCACGTTGTTGAACATTGCGGTGTATTTGAAAATAGAACACATAAATATGATTTTATTGGTGGAATATAATGATATCTCTGACTTTACGCATCAGGCATTCTCATTAAAAGTGCATCAGTACGCTGCTGAAGTCGCTTTTTTTTCTAATTCATCTGATAGTCTGTTAGTCTGTGCATTGATTTACATCGTATTAGGTCACAAAAGAATGTACGGAAGTACTTAAGTACCTAACAAAGTACACCCCTTTCGTAAAGTGCTCAGAGTAAGCGCACAATTTTTCTATTTATTAATCACGTACTACACGAGCAACTTCTGAGAATTCCGCAGACGTTCCCGACAGATGAATAATCATTATTGTAGTTCGAATTGTAAGTTAAAAGCGACGTCAACTACATGTAGTCGCTTTTATCTGACAAGAGGTTCTCATGTATGAATTTTGTGCTGGTTGGACTCAGTGTTAACTAGAAAAGAGACATTAGTAGGGTTATTATTCATCGACTTTCGTTCTTTTCATTGTGTCGGTGTTGTTTGATATGTGTGCATCAGTATTTTTTTTACATATGTGTAATCGGGTGTCCTAGTTTCTATGTACTTCTCTTTATTTTTGCCTTTAACGTGTGTGTTCAATATTCACTCAAAGGTTAAAGAGTTGTCGGCGCTTTTCATGTGGGCAAACATTTCCTTTATATTATAACAATAAACCATATCCAAAACTTAATAACGCGCATTGTCTTAATAGCTCACCGTTAAGCTTGGCTCAAGGTCGTTCTGTGCTGCGGTGTTTAGCGGGGCGCGCTGAAGAGCGGGAGAGCACAGTTTGAGGGCCCGCTGCGGAACTGTTCCTTCTTGTTTTTCTCCCCTGGAGTCTGTTAACAAAAAATTATAACGTCATATCTGTAACGAAAATACGTCAAGGAGCCATGGCGGACCCCAGCATATAACACTTCCATGTTATAATCGCGTCTTTTGGTACATTTCACTCTTGGACGTGACGTTTACTCTATCTCGCTCCAGTCTCTATGTAACGTTTATTATACTACCGTATACTGTACAGAGATTCTCACTACATGAACGGGCTTTAAGGTTTACAGTCTCGTAGGACGCGTTTGTCTCGCACCACTTGATATATTTGACTGTTTCACCCAAAATTGCTTACTTCAGATAAGGTGAATAGATTGCATAGGGGCGTTTCTTTTTTTTCTGTATTTCAGTTTATGATGAATCCTCCAAGAACCTGGACATACAATGCGACCCTGAATTTCTCATACAGTTGCAAATTGGACGTTGCCATAAACAAAAGTGGAAGAGACATTTACTTTAACCAGTCCGCAATCGAGAAAACGGGCATGTAAGAACTCATTCAGTCAAGTCACCGGTGTACATTCACCAAACTTTATGCTTTCTTTTTCTTCCTCGCAGCATCAAGTCTGGAATTCGCATAGGACATACTTATCAGAGCTACGACCTCAGTGGGAGGCCCTGGAATGTCATGTTCATTACTGACTGCAAGTATAAAGCTTCAAGTTCGGAATGAATATAGCACATAGCTCCACGTATGTTTTGTTGCCGAATCGAACCGTGCTGAAAAGCTTACAGTTGGGACAGAAAAATATGGCTTCTGCTGCGCCACTGCAAGAAGTTTACGACGCATTGACTCGATTACTAGGGTAGTTTAACAAAGTTTGGGTTGTAGCTAGCTGGTACTACAGGATCACCTAGTTCTGGCGCCATTTTTTAGGAAACATAGGAAACACGAAGCCGCGCAAACTTCCAAATAAATTTATTGTGCGAATGATGCATATGTGAATTCCAAAAGAACTTGTTTTTGGTCTAGTTGGTGCAAACTTGGTGCAGAAGACTGAGGTGCAAAAAACATAACGTGATGCAGGCAGAGCAGGAGAGACAGAACAGCTTGCGCTGTTCTGTCTTCTCTCTTACTTTTCCTGCTTCACGTTATGTTTTTTTGCGCCTCAGTCTTCTGCACCAAGGATGCATATGTGAGTAAGACAACTCCAAGCACTAATATCATAAGTGCGCAGTACGACAGCGCGCGCTGACTACATCTGGTGTGAGGGAGTAGCAGATGTCCGCTGTCGTACTGCTCACTTACCATTATGGTGTTTCAAGTTCGCATATACAAATATGCATTGTTTCGATGATAAATTAAGTTAGAAGTTTGCAACTGTCCGTGTTTTGTTTGTTGTCTGAAACATTTAGGAAAGAATCGGTTATCACCTGATAGAACAGCTCCTTCAAAAAAAGGAAACATAAAAAAGAAATTTTAGAATCGGAGCTGCCAATCACGGAGCAGCAAAATTACGTGTCACCTGATAATAAGAGACTGCAAAAATGAGGGTCAGTTTCGCCCAAAATCTGTGAAATTGAGATATCTATAATACGTAATTGTTGCGCTTGAAGTCATTACAGGCTGTTTGGTACGTGATTGCGACATATTTTTTTCAGTGAACACGTGAGGAGAATTATTCAAACGTACTTTTTGAGATTTATTATGCTTATGAAGATACTGCAGAGAGAGAGTGTTGCGTTAATTACATTACTTTTATATGGTGCCATGTGAAGCTAATACCAAATAGGTAGCTTTGGTCCACGTCCGGTGAAAAAAAAAGGGTGTACGAATACCTACGGGAGTAATTTTTGAATAGTTTGTAGTTGTTTCGGCCGCATTTTCGCAGGACGTAAGCAGGTTACATAGCAGTCTTTTTCACGCACTCGATGCCATAGTGCAAAGAACAGGAGCTGTTAGAGGAAGATTACCAATCTTGGCTTAGACCGTTGCTTACGTATATGATGTGTTCGTATTGTGGCCATATAAAGAAGTGTTGGTCAAGTAACTCTGAGCTCTGGGTAGCACTAAGCCTTGCACGAAAATCGCCAGTGTTACAAAAGCATTCCAAGCATTTGAACGCACTTCCTCAAGTATAAAGAGCTAATTAGAAAGATACGCTGAAATCAAGTATAGCTAGCGAGCAGTGTTTTGCAAGATAAGCTGGTCTGGCCACGAAGATTTGCTGATTCTAATATTCAAGGATTATTACGCAGCATCGTGCTCAAACAGCCGCCTGTTTATGAAGCTAGATAAAATTTTAGGTACTTGCCTGTCAGGAAGCCTTAACATGGCAGTTCTGAGTAATCTTTCCCACGTGGAACAGAGAAAATGAGTTGGAAGTTGTCCACAACATGCACGGCATTTTGAGTCTCGTGCAACTGAGGCCCAGATGAGTCGGAGGCCAGGCCTTGAAAAAGTAAGTGGCTACACAAAAGGTATGCGCGGAAGTTGAAGAAGCGCCATGATGTGGTGGGCCCATGGGGTGGTCCGTGTTTTTGAGTGCGAACAGTCGTGCTCACGCAGGATTCTCTCCAATGCTCCTTCGAATGTGTGGAAAAACGTTAGGGCTGGGCATAGCCTAATCATGTAATCGAAAGAGCATGATTCATGGCCATATTGGGGTTAGGCTGTGAGTGAGGATATTTTACCTACCATAAAACCAAACTGAAGAGAAACACGGGTTTTCAGAAGTCTGAGAAAGTGTTAGGTTTATTTTTTTTTTCAGGGTGCGGGAGGGAATAGTGGAAGTTTTTCATAACCTCTCGGTAGTGTAAATAACTTTGCAGAATGTACCTGAGTGATTCAAAAAGTAAAGACAGTTTGTCAATACTGAAGTGTTTACGAGTCTTAATAGAGATTCATTTGTGCTGGCCATCTGTTCATTCTACAGCAAGATCCTGAAGTTATTGTTCCGGTTAAAAGTAGTCGTCTGACTGATGGTCAATGGAGGTGAAACTGTGTGAGGGAATCGTTGCTGGCGCATGAAAGGAAGTGTGGGCTGTAAGACAATTTTTCAGGCAAAAGCTTCATCAGCTTATCAAATTCATTCAAGAAGGGCTTTGTCTTTGTACCTACATGATCAGTGAAGCAAAGATCAGAAGATGGAGCTGACACTTACAAATCTTCACCTGATTTACCGATGGAGTGAAGTGGCATGCTTAACATCAAGACCCTGAAACTGTTCAACAATGCGCTGACAATTGCAATTAGATGAACGACTCGCAATTCGTAGTCCGTCGGATTGAATTACTTTTGTTAAAACCTCTAGAATTGACAACACCGAGGTGAAAAGCTTAAAATTCAAAAAGTGCGTCCAAGCTTGACACCAGAAGAGCTCACCGACCAACTCAACAGCTATAAATTTTCAGGTGAACGTCTATGCAGTAAAGCTGAAGCAAGTGGTTCGGTGTGGGTGTGAAAAATATGATTGTATGTTCATATTGAATGTGCAGAAATGTGAACTAGAATAAAACTATACCAGCAGTAGAAACTTTAAATAATGAATAGTTAGTTTCGGGGCAAAATCATCTCAGCTTCATTATTGATCTTCATGCATAGTGGATCTTTTTGACCATGGACCTCATCACCAATGCTTGAAATATAAAAAATACTTGGCCACTAGGAAAGCATGAAGCATTAACTGGATTGACAGAAAAATGGAGACCGTTGAAGAACATATATAGTGAGCTCAACGACACCAACAAGAGCCGTCTAAAAGATGACAAATCACAATCAATTTTTTTACATTAAACAACTTTGATAAAACACAGCTAATGGCTTCATCATAAGAGTCCGTATTAAGTGAAAACTGCACCTTTTTTCACATACTGAGTGCATTGGTGAATGTGGCGTCGTTATATTAGTACATGTAGAATGTCTATTGATGTTTGGCAGCTATCGCACCATCTGACTTGGATGCAGGAACATTGCTGCTTAGTGAACAGTCCCCATACCGACGGTTAATGCCCACAATCATGATTTAACCCTTTTAAGAACTGAAGTTGTTGCAAAGACACTTTTAAATTATACCTTGAGGCCCGTGCAGAGATGGCATCGTCAAGCACGTAAAGAACTCGTGAGTTCCATTTACTCGATTTTAGGTTCATTCAGTCAAGGACAGAAACGTGAAAGTGCAGGCTTGCAATAAGGTGACATATGTTACCAACGTATGCGCTCACGCATTCATTGCCATGCTGCGCTAAAAATATATTAAACTGGGGACTGAGGCTCGTAGCTAGGGTCAGGAACGCGCAAAGTGTTCCAGATCCCACATCGCTGCCTTTTTGTGCGGCTTATGACCGCAGTTTTATTATTCTGTGCGGTCGCGATCGAAGAATTAGGCTGCGAGACAGCACCACTGATTCAGGTGAAAGCTGCACTACTCCGATGACGAGCCGTCACACACTGACACGAATTGAAAAGCAATCGACATGACAGTGTCTAGGGCTACTCCTCAATGCCAGCATGGCTAGTTGTTCTCGCTGGAATCGATACAGCGTAACTTCGTTGTTTAACTGAAACACTCCTCCATTGGTGCTCGTTAGTGTTCGATGAATACTTCCACGTTTCAGACGCAACATCACCCCGCCCCGCACACCACAACCACCACAACCAAAAGCAGCGTGGAGGTGGAATGTGTGTAGATTTAACGCGCGAATGTTAACAAATTGAAAGTTATTTGTATGATATACGCACAGTCTAAACGTATTTCTATTGATGTAGTGGGCTAGCTTTTCACGGGAAAGTTACGGTTTGCCGATGACTTTCCCTCTCTAGCTAGGCCACTCAATTCTTCATTTCGTGGATTTGATGAGAAGTTCATATTCGTGACATAATAAGTCATTGAAGTGCTAGCAAAATCTGGCATTAGGCACTTTGTATAAAAAACATTTGTG